CGTTTTAATTATGTTTACTTTCAATTTTACGAGTCATTGACCACACATCCCAGCAAACACACAACATTTTAAAAACATTTTTTAAATGTCATATGGACGTCTCTCACAAAATATTTCAATAAGATATCTTTTAAACATTAAAAAAATGTTTATTTTATTGTTTTTGAAATGTTTTATTTCTAACATTTAAGTAAAATGTTTTTACAACATTAACAAAATATTATTTGCTAATATCTTTTATTCATGTTCTCAAACATTGTTCTAAAATATCCCATAGATATTTTATAATATAAAAAAATAATATTTTCTTCAATTGGTATTTTATATTTTAACAACATTTAAAGTAAATATTTTCCAAATATCCAAAAAACATTCAGCAAAAAAATGTTTTACAGAAAATATAGTTTTGCTATTTGCATAAAATGTTTTATAACGTAAAATTAAAATGTTTTACATAAAACATCTGAAAAATATCAGCTAAATGTTTTCTATAAAATATTCTGGCATACACATTACTTAATAGTCTTACTGATATTTTATTCAACATTTTACGGATATAAAAATAACATTTTATTTAAACTTTATTCAATACCCCACAAACAACGTTTTGTGGAATTTGCTCGTTTTTTTCAGGATAAGATATTTTACTACATTTCATCAATATCACGACAAGCAAGATACTAAGGTTGAAATCCTTACTTGATATCTTGAAGATCCTTGAAGTCAGATTTTATTCCTTCTTATATTAAAATTCAAAAGAGTCAACATTAAATTAAGCAATAATGTATTAATAAACAATCACCTTTCTTTGATGTTTATTCATTTCGTTCGTGTATATTTTAGAAATTAAGAAATGAAAACTGTAACTGTACTAAGTTCAATTTTCGTATCGTTTATATGCCTTACGGAAAACCGACCTTTTCCGGAATCGACTTTTGTTTTATCACCGGAAATGATTTTGAAATTTGAATTTCGAAAGACAGGATATCAACAAAGAGAGCCAAGAAAATTGTTTGTTACGCGATATATACTCACTTGGTAAGAATGATTAATCTGTTAAGATGAAACTTGTGCATTCATTGTGTGTGTTCAATCATAATCGGAACCAAATTACATCTGTTTCTGGAGGTGCGGATCAAGGTTTTGAAAAAAAGGGGCCCTGACCAAGGCAAGCAAACGTTTGGAGTAATACTTGTAAATAGTCTATACATTTATCTTATAAGTAGCTCCATAAGGGGGTCGGGGCCCCTAAATCCGCCACTGTTCAAGCATCTACGTACACCAATTTTGAATTTGTTCATTGATATAAAAAAATTATAAGGATATGTGGCTTGTGTGGTTGATTGCCAATACACCTTATCGCTATTTGTCCGCCATTACTGGCCATAGACATCACAAAAGTTCCCATAAAATGTTGACGTCATATATGAAAATATTTGACACCACAATTGAAAGTAATACACCTTATCGCTATACTTGTATCAACACATGGAACGTAAGCGGCCCGGTCAAAGGTCATAGGGGAAAAACCGCTTACATCATTGAGCACGTAATAATAAACATTGATCGCCAGAATCACTACTCGAGTTGAAAATGTCTTAAATCATGCAAATTATACCATTTTAAATAGTTATATAATCCATTAGGTTAGTAAAAATACAAAAACTTAGCCAGTGTGTATCCTTTCAGAGGTGCAAAACCATACTTTGTCGTACACAAGCCGTGACAAGGTCCTTTTAGCTGTTTAGGTCACGGTCTTCTGCATTACCCAACTGAAATATTTTAACTTTTGTGACTTATTTCCGTGTTTATAACACTAGACTCAGGAATGGTTTGCTTATGAATTATTCCATTTTATTGCATACATGTATATAGGGATCCCTATAATTGTTTAAAGGGTCCACCAGCTAGGTTACTTACTTGTAAAATGTACTGTTCCAAACAGTCAAGATCTGTCAAAATTAAACTTACAAACATGCTGATTTTTACCACCTTACAAATATACTTGATATTTCTTTTTTTTTTTAAATAAAACAAGTTTCTGCTGTAACTGCAACAGGCACATGTGGGGTACACCCCCTTTTATTAAATTTCTGTGGTTTTTTTATGAATTATTATGGCTTAAAATGTTTAATTTTTACTATGTTTATACCATGCTTATTTGTGGCTACTGTGCATGCCTCATCTTGTTTCAAGTCAAATTACCAACTCTGATACAACCCCTTATTTTACTTTCCATACTAAACATTGCTAAATTAAAAATATTGAATATTTTAAGTAATAATAAAAATTAAACCCCCAAAACATCAAGCAGGGTCTACTTCACAAGGCTCCTGTGAATACTACAAGAGACTGTACACAAGCATATAAAACCTTGATCATGTGAACTGATATTTTTGCATGGTTATTGGTTGTTCTTTGCCAAGTTTAAAGTTTACATGATCAAAGTCTTTATTGTAACAGTGTACATGGTGTAATTGTGGGGCAACAGCAAGGTTAGTAATAAGATCAGATATTTTATTCCAATAAAAATGCCCATGAAAAGCAAAATAAATTATAACAAAGATTTTAATAATTGACACAATAATTTTAATAATCATATATAAATATGAACATGATGAATATAATCATAAGATCAAACCACACTCAAACCATGGTCAACGCCATAAGCATGTAAATAAAAAAGCAGTAACCCAACAACATGCAGAGTTGCATTTTTTCATCTTTGGTCTACACACCCACAGTGTATTTTGATTCATATTCTGGTATTTCAATTGCAGATTTCTAGTGAAATAATGGGTATAGTAATCTTTGTTGGTTATCTGTTTACAATGTTTGGTTAAATTATTGAAAATGTATAAAGTTTCAAGGAGAAGTTGTTCAGTTATATCCTGCTCTAACAGTTGGTACAAAATAGAAAAATGGATGCAAGAACAATGTGAAATACATAAATGTAACAAGGGAACTGGATCATGTGACTGTTCACCTCCATTTCAACTTATACCTTTTCCCACTGAGAGAAAAGATCCTGCTGGTCGCAAAAAATGGACAACAATTGTAAATCGAAAACATGGAAACAATAATTGGCAACCTAATTCTGAATCTCGAATTTGCTCCAAACATTTTGTAGATTGTGAACCAACTCTTAGTAACCCGTTACCAACATTTGACTTGGGTTACACACCAATACAAGTAACAAAATTTAGGCCCCCTCCACGTGAAAGACATGACAGTCCCCCTCCTAAGAAAACAAAGCGAAAACTTGAGAATGACCTTTCAGTTGAGGATTTGAACAAACACATAACTTCTGATCATGACTACATGTATATACAAGACACAGACTGTAACCGTGAAGTAATTTTATTAAGGGACCAGGTACAGAAACTGCAAAAAGAAGTCAATATGTATAAATCTGCTTACATAAGATCTGTCAATACTAAACACAAAACAACATTTGACATAAATGTTATATTACAAAGTGACAAAAAATGCAAATTCTATACAGGCATACCAAAGGTTGAAACTTTCAATGACTTTTTCATTGAATTGGAACAAAAAGTGAGGCAAATGAGACATTGGAAAGGTCCAAAAAGGACATGCAATCCACTTAAAAACAAGAAATATACAAGATCAAATTCAAACAGAAAATTATCACTTAAATTTGAATTTGCATTGACCCTTATGAAATTAAGGTTAGGCCTGTTGTTTGAAGATCTTGCTGACCGATTTGGAATTTCTACCACCCATGCTTCAAACATATTTACAACATGGATAAAAGTTTTGTCCAGTACAATAGGATCTTTGGTGTTTAACCCATCAAAAGAGGCAGTTAAAACAAATTTACCACCTTCTTTCAAAGGAACAAAATACATTGATGTCCGTCACATCATTGACTGCACCGAAGTATTTTTAGAGAGACCCAATAATTTAGAGGTTGCAGCTCAGACATGGAGTGATTATAAACATCATAACACAGCTAAATTCTTAGTGAGCATAAATCCTTCTGGCTTAATTAATTATGTTTCAGAGGGTTTTGGTGGTAGATGCAGTGATAAATATATTACTAACAATTCTGGTTTTTTAGACATTCTTGAACCATATGACTGTGTAATGGCTGATCGTGGCTTCACCATAAGGGAAGAATTAGCTTTGGTAAGAGCACAACTGTTTATTCCAGCAGGTCGTAGAGGTGTTACACAAATGTCAACAAATGAAGTCCAACAAACAAAAGAAATTGCTAATCGCAGAATTCATATTGAGCAAGCTATACGAAGAATGAAATACTTTAGAATACTGAAGTATGAAGTGCCGCTTACTCTCATGCAACATTTGGATAGTATTTTTAAAACAATTGCAGGAATATGCAACATGTACCCCCCTCTTCCAAAGTATGAGACATAATTTTGATTGTGATCCAAAAATTGTGAAAAATAATCACAATTAAGGTTTTGTTGTTAGTTTTCATTTGTTTCACATTTTTCATGTCATTGTCTTTTACCACTGACTAAAGGGTATGGGGTTTACTCATCATTGAAGGCCACACAGTTGCCTATTACTACTAATATATTCACTTCATTTGAACTCTGGTGGAACGTTGTCTCATTTGCAATCTATTGGAGCTAAACAATACCACATCTCCTTATTTTTATAAAGTATAGCATAATTTATATATGAAAATTAAATCTTTTCTACAGGTACATATTCAGGTAAAATTATTTGATAATGCATATATAGTAACTGCATTCTTCTAAAAATTAAAGTTTCAATTATTTGTACATGTACATCATGCATTCTGTATGACAAATTATATTTAATTACTTTGAGTGCATTTTTTGCAAACCCACTGCTGTAACTTTGATGCTACCTTTTTTGTTACATTTACACATCTGAAATGATACCACAAGTCACAAATATCACAGCAAATACTATGATCAATAAAATTTTCAACATTTTCAGAGTTTTTCACAATGTGATTACATGATGGACAAAAATATGTTGTTTCAAACTCCATTTGGTCCTCTATAGGACTGCTGTTGTTCCTGGTACACACCTCCTGTAGATTTGAAGCAGTTTGCATTTTAAGTTCACCAGAAAATAGTTCAGGAACAAAATATTTTTCAAAAAATAGTTTTAAACTATCAACAATTTCCTCATAATAAGGTTTGTCAAAAACAATTCTCTGACAAAATGTTCCATTACATGTATATATAAAAAAGTCACAATATTTCCTTCCAGTTATTGCTAACTGGCCTTGAATTTGGCCATAATATTTGTGTTTTTTTTTTAAACTGTACTTAGTTCCATCAACATACAAATAGTCTGGAATAGAACAACTGCAAAATGTTGTACATATGCCACATTTTGGAACAAGAGGACATTTAATTTCAACAACACCTGAGCCACAACAAGCACAATCAACGAGTAAATCAGGGCTAGCCCCAAGATAAGTCATGTCATTATCAAGAAATATTCCACATTCTGTAATAATAACATCTGTGTGGCCTGCTTTCTTCATACCCACAAGGTAACACGATTTGGCTTCTGGTTCCATTTCTCGCCCATGCTTAAGAGACCTTATGTTAGGATTTAACTTTTTGTATCCCATGAGTCGTGAAATTAATGGATCAAAAGTAACACCCTCTTTTTTCTTATAACTCTGCACTTTTGTATGTATTTCGTAGAAATTCGATGATGTCAGACGACCCGATCTTATTTCATGCCATTTTTCATTGCTGCACTGACCAACCGTAGAACGCATTACTTTTTGAATTTCACTCTGAGTATACTTTGGCATGTTGCTTAAAAAGTCAGTTTGGTTGTTACATTTTGTTTTAATGTCTTGTATTGTGTAGGCTGTGATGTCTTCACTAACTGGTTTGGTTACTGTTTCTTCTACACTTTCTGTGACAAAACCTGAAAGAATATTTTAAACAACATATTTAAGTGCATTGATTTTGACTTGGGGAATGGCTTTTTTTGTGGGGAGGGTTTTGAAATTTCCTCATTTTTAATAAGAATTTTAGGCTGTGTCTTGAACAAATTGTTTTCAAAGACATATCCTTTTTAGAGTTTTTGTAGAGATTGGAACCAATAATAACAAAAAAAGCCCCAAACTAAACAAATCATAACATCTGAGATTAGAACTAAAGGTATATTCATCATTTTAGATTTTCAAGAAAAACAATGAAAAAAGTTTTAAAACTAGTTAATATGTTGTGACTTGATTTTCAACTGTTCTTGTTAAAAAAAAAATATTTGTAGTCCAAGTTATTCATCTCAAATGACTTATTCTTGTAAATTTAGATTTATCACGAGATCAAATTTTATCATGTTATTATAAACTGCATTCATACGACATAAACAAACAAATAAAAAAACTAGCAAAAAAGCTCTATGAGAAAATTAAAACAATAAAACAATAAAAACTTAAAACAATTGAGGTTCTTCAAGTTTATTTTATTATTATAACATTGTATTTATATGTACCTTTGAAAATACAAGCATTTGGGATAGACTTCTTGAGTACTGCTGAAAAAGTGTCCAGGTTGTCTCTACTTTCAGGTATGGGCTGGTACTGCAACTTGGACTGGCAAACTAAAGGTCTTTTACTATCTAAAATAAAACCGAAAGAATTAATGACTTATCCCCCTTTGATCAATGAACATGAATATAGACTACTCTTGTGATCATATTTTGTTGTTGTTTCACATACTGGAATAATGTATAAAAAGAATATCTAGTGTATCAAAACACAAACTCGTGACATATATTTCCTACTTGTTGACGTTATCATTAATGTGATAGACTTATTAATTTACATGTTAATTTCTGTGTCATTTGGTCTCTTGTGGAGAGTTGTCTGATTGACAATCTTACCACATCTTATTTTTATAATATATCTCATTATTTGCTTTGTTAGTTCGAGTCTAGTTTCCATGGTAAAATCCATGACAAGGATTGGTACAGCAGTATGGAAATAAAAACATATATAGTGTGGCTAATAAAATATCAAAAATTATAAATGGTATGTATGTCAGTGGCGGATCCAAGGGGGGGGGAAACCCCCTTTTTTTGAACAACCAATGCATTTGAATGGGGACATATAGTTGGAACCCCCCCCCCCCCCCCCTTTATCCTGCTTGGTGCTTGGTAATAAAAAAACATACCTGATTGTCCATGTCTTGACTTGAAGATTCTCAAATCTTTAATTTTAGTTGGCTTCACTCCCTTTATTCTTGACGGTACTTTCCATGTGCAGGGGAGGGAAGTACATGCAGATGCACCTAGTTTGTTTGCAGCCTCAACTCGGAAAAGGAGTCCAGCGACATGATTACATGTTCTTCCCAAACTGAAAAAAAATACAACTAATAAATGATCTTGTTCAATACCCAGTAAATCTACAGCAAATGATGCAAGTCGATTAGCAAGAAAACTTATATTGACAAAACAGTTATTAGTTTTAAATTAATAAAGAACTGCAAGATAAATGTGCAAACATAGAAATAAACATGTCAACAAACAGTTAGCATGGTTAGTTTTATACCATGTAGGTTTTTACAGCCGTGACAATGGATATGATTAGCAAGGAACATTTTACAAGAAAGATAAAAAATGATATACCATTTCATGAACATGTGAATTTGAGGTTTTCTAATTAAACATTTCCCATAACAAACATGACAAAGGTTGGGGACAATCTCCCAAATGGGATATAAATTTACTGTACTTCAAATCTTGCTTTTCTTTAAAAAAAAAATTAATTTAACAATCATTTTTTTAAAACATTTCCCCTAATTTGTTTTGGCACATTAATTTTTCATACATTTATGTTTCAATTGAGGTATTATATCTCGAATGGGATAGTTTAACCCATTTTGGAGATTGGTCCCAACCTTTTACAGCTTATTAATTGCTATTACATTAAAATGGAAGGCTTTACAGTACATTGCAAATCTATGAGGTTATGGATGGGGATCTTTCATTTCTGTATTCTTAATTTTACATTTGTCTTCATCTTTAAAAGAATGGCTATTCTGTAATTACATTTATTACTTGATGACTGTATTTTGGACTTGTTTTTTTCTATAATTATTATATGTTTGCCCATTTCTTTTATTTTTGTAATTATTTTTTATATATTTAACATCCCATTATTCTGAGATTTTTCTGCTCTTAATTACTTTGCACATTTTTCACTATTCTTATTTTTTCTCCATTATTATGTATTATGTTAAACCCATCCACACCCTCATCTATGCATATAATTCAAGGAACTTTACTATACATTTTATATCAAATAACATGAAGTCTTACCCTGCTGTGCATGTGCAGTATGAGGATCCAATTTCTCCTGTTGCTTTCTCAACACACACCCAGACATCATGTTCTTCTTCTTTTATTTTTTGTGAAGGCACACATTTTGCTCTTAGAAAACAGTTCTTGGATCTTGCATCAATGTCATGATAGAATATTTGTTGCAAGAATCCATTTTTAAAATATTCATAAGCCTTGCCAATTTTATAGTCTTGGAGAATCTCCTTCATTTTACCAGATGTATTTTTTTCGCTTAAGTACTTTACAATGTCAGATATGTAGACTGGTGGAAATTTTTTCATACCATTTTTCTCATCTAACCAGTTATTATGAATCTGTAGTGGATCTGGTAAAGCTTGGCCGTTTATTTTTAGCAAGTTCTGATAGTCTAGTTTATTTGTTTTGATAATTTCAAAAGAAGTTGGAATGACTGCAATTTTTAAAACAGACGCCGAATAGCAAAGAGCCGCCAATTCACTTTTTGTACCATCTTTCGTCATACCTCTCTTTGTCAAGAAGTCGCGCAAAGCACTTACTTTCCAGGTTAAAAAATCATCTAAAGAAGTGTTTTGGTCAGTAGTATCCATTATAAAAGGTAATATCGTATCAAATGTCAAATATATAAAAGGTAAAGTATATAAAAATCGTGTAAAAATGTATCAAATTAAGTTCAGAACTTCACATCTTTCTTTCAACGTTATCACGGCGGCCATATTGTTTACAATGGATACGGAAGTTTTCCCCTATGACCTTTTGACCCGCACCGCCATATTGAAAATGACGTTAAGTGTTGATACAAGTATTTGTCCGCCATTACTGGACATCACACAACTGTCACAAGTTCCCTTAAAATTTTGACGTCATCATAAAAAATATCTGATGCCACAATGGAAAAGTGATTGTTGTTTGACGTCAAAACTTCAAGCAGGATAGATTCTCGGGTCAAGCGGGGATAAGGTGTATTATTGTATGACGTATGCTGACGTAAAAAGTTCAAGCGGGACAGATTTCCAAATACTGAAATAGCGATAAGGTGTATGAGACAGCTACATGTGTATCCACCAGAATTTAAATGACTTGGATAAAAGAAATTATAGGTCACTGTACCGCTTTCAAAACTGAGAAAACCAATGCCATATAGTCCACTATGAAGCCTTGACAAATAAATGTTAAATTTTTCTCAACACAATTGAAACAAAACAACTTACTAACTGCCTACATTAAATACTCATTATGAAAAAGAAATTTGACAGACTTAAACCAACAACAACTATTGCAATAAGCATGACTCAATACCTTGTTTCCGAGGCACACAAACAAGTTACAATAACACTAATATAAGCACCATGTGAATATGGAGATTTTTTTTCTAGTAAAATCAGTGTATGTATGTATTTGCAAAACAGTAAATTAAATTTCCCTTAACCACCGTGTATAATCAGTACAGCGGATATAGGTACTAACCAAGCGGGCGTGATCGATTTTGACCTCACACAGTAACGAAAATCTTTGTTTTGTTCACATAATATCAATTTGTACCTCAATCTAAACATAGTTGTTGTTTTAAGAAATGATTTGGTCGTAGGTTGATGATTAGAGATGTCTCGTTATTTTCCCAAAACAAGAACGATTACTAAAAACATGTGCAAATACTTGTCAAAGAAGTTGGCACGAGTTCGTCTCATCCGATATAATTCTATATTCATTCTGATAGAAGGCCACTGTGCGTGTGTAATAAGTATAGTTGTATCAATAATTGGCATTGAAATCTTTCATGCATATGTTTTTTTGGATATTTTATTCCGAAAAGAAGCGTTGTGTACGGTGTTTAGCTGACCACATAAATCCTTCTGTACGGTGCATAGTTAAGTTGCTGTACACCGTACACAAAAACAAAATTTTCATACTCTTATTACCCAAAAAGTTTCAAGGAATGAGTAATCACAGGTAGGTTTATGATTGGTAACTATTACTTTTGCCATGTATTAGCTTTCTTTCAGATAAAACATGTAAATGTCTCGACAATTGTGTCGAAATTGAAAGTTGGTGTTGACATTCACAACTATTTGCGCATTTACAAGTTAATTGTTCTTATTAGAATATAAAAATTGTCTTATAAATAGGAAAAAATCGATGCGAAAATTATTTTGGAGCAGGAATTTCAGATGTTGAGAAATGTACACTGAATGTTGATAAAACAAAGATTTTCGTTACCGTGTCAGTTCAAAATCGTTCATGCCCGCTTGGTTAGTACCTATATCCGCTGTACGATGATACACGGTGTTAACAGCTTAATGAACATTACAAAGACTATGTAAGACTTCAGTACAAGCAAGATAATATAAACTGTTGCTTAAAATTATATTTATTGCTTCATACACACAATGTACATACAATGTATCTTTTATTTTTTAAAGGAGCTACAAGAAAAGCCACAAAGGACAAGTTCAATATGCAGGTTTACAATTTGGAAGTGGCGCAGGTTCTTTGGAATGTCTACAACCTTTCAGGAGAATTTTTTTTTTTGAAGTAAGATTTTCATACAGAATTACTGTTATTCCATATTTAATTCAAATATTTAGCATAAACAATGCATTACATTCAAGATTAAGGGCATACAATACAGAAAAGATATCTGGATATTTGAATAAATTATTTTTTTGTGACAAAATAGAAACAAGTTGTTTATTTAAATCAATCTTTTAGTCCAACAGTGTGCTTTCATAAACAACATATTTGCTTTCCTTTGAAGTATTTCAAATACATATAAACAACTCATTTAATGACATCTGTGTGTTTCTCGGAAGTTAAGTTATATTATTATCATCATTGTGAAAACAATGCGTAACACTTCGATAAGTTATTATGTGCCTATAGTATACTTCTAGGACTGTATCATATGCCCTTAGATACAAATGACAAGTTATAAACTATGTCACTCTACAGAGTTTAACACTTAAAAAGGACAATAAGATGTTTAATGACATTATGTAGCAGGGCTTTTAAAGGCCCCTACATGATACAATGCATTTAATGATAACTAAAAAAAAACAAGAAAAACAACAGCCTGATTTATACAAAACAATAAAAGAAAAAAAATATGATGGACAACAATCAACGAGTATAATGAAATAAGACTCTTGACTGGACATATATCTAGTCTAAAGTTTTTTATGTGTTTTTTTTTTAATAACTAAATGAAGTTCAGCGTGGCATATTGCTCTCTCTTAACACGGTCAGCCATTTATCGTCCCCTTCCGACAGACTATCATTGTTATTTGTTTCAAAACTTTAAAGGGGAGGGGATGTATATCCGTCAGTCAACGTGAATCGTTCTATAATAAAGGAATGTGCAAGAAGTATCTTTTCTACTATTACACAAATGAACCGCTGAAGTGGGGGATTCGGAATATAGCAGTTATGATATATATTCTCAGTTTGTATATAATTCGAAGCATTATCGAACTATGTCAGCCTATTGGACTTTCATCTTTGAAATTCCCTTTGCACTAATAACATAAACGGTACCAATTTTTCAGCACCAGATCCGCATTTCGACAATCAATGTCTCTTCAGTGATGCTCGATGCCGAAATATTTGAAAATCCAAAGCTTATCATAAACAGGTGAAGAGCGTCTAAACCAAAAAGGACAAAAAAGTATAGCCATATAGAGTATAAATATCCAAATGAGATTACATAGGGATAACTTGGAGTGTTTACCTGTACATGTTAAAAAAAAAGAAACCAACAGCAATATTTGACGAAGATGATATTGATGGAATTTTAACGTCCAGTGACATATATTACATGCATGTCGGAACAGATCTTGAAATTGACAATAGGTATTAATAGAACCGTCGCTTTTACAAGGTAGTCAGTCACTCTTTGTTGGAATTTCAGGTGCTATTTCACAAGGTTCACATTAAAGTTATACATTATAACTAACAATTGTGATGACGAATTTTTAAACTGTTCTAGAACATTCTACTTGAAATATAAATCTGTGATTTTACTATGTTCATAACTTCGACGAAGCAAAGCAAGTTAGATCATCTGGACTGATATGCATAAACTGAACCACTTAAATTACGATAGCCAATCGTAGTATTAATTTATCGTAGAACATGTAGAAAATCCTTCCGTTCGGAACAAATCATAACTTAAGTAGCTTTATGCAAACGGGCCCTGAATTTAAATCAGATTGGTTCTTGATGTTTCTCTCTTATTTTCAAAATACATATTTAAAATGTGACTATCTAAAGTTCCGTAATTTTCTATCTGTATAAACCAACGATCGACAAGTGCGTACATTTTTGTCAAATATTTATGTTTTAAAATGTCCATAATTATTGACAACTAGTACATACTTCAATTTTCCAAATTTTACCAATGGAAAATATCTAAATAAATTGTTACTTCATCAAATCTTGGTTGGAACTATTTAGATTTTCATAAGCATCATTCATTACACCAGAAATGTCATTCATAAACAAGTAGTAGTAAAATTGACTACACGTACGAGTTTAGTTATGTATAGTGTATCACTGTCGGACTCAAGAAACAAACAAATGTACACATGATGTATATTATACCTGATAATTTTTAAATCCAAATTACCGGCCGTGTACACTGATCTATACGTTCAGCAGTAAAGCGAGGCATGAACCTGAATTACGTGTAATAAGAGTTTTTAAGCCCGACAGGAAATCGCGTGAATACCTGAAAGTGTCACCTCGCAATACCTCTGGCAATAATTCCTTCAAACTGCCTGTACAGAATATAATACGGAAGGAACCAAAATGTTGAAATAAAGAAGTCCGTAGAAATACCGCAAATGACCACCTTAGTCCTCTAAAACAGAATTTCGCACTAGGGACTTGATGGGATAATATAGTTGGCACAAAGGACATGAAATATAGCAGTAGACTATGTTAATATAAATAAATGAATAATTCCAAATCATACAATCATATCTTTAGTACGAAGTTATTTAATGATTTATAGACACGTGCCACAATCTATTGATTGTCATCTGTGTGTAATCGATTGAAATTCATGTTCATTCAACCAGAACCCGTTTATGACGCATGTGTATACAGGTTGTACATACATATATTATTTCAGCATGTTCTAGTGTTTTTTGTTTTGTTTTATGGGTTTTGTATTTTGTATAAAAAAAATCAAAATGTGTGTTATTTCTACGCACCAGAAAAAACGTTGTTTTAAACATGTTTTCATCTATTTTCCAATAAGTTCCATAATAGAAAAAAGTTAAATACAATTAATCTTTTTTTTTGTTAGCATTTTAATGATTTTTTAATAGAAAATCCTAAAACAAAAGAAAGTACAAATACAAGGTAAAAAATAACTCAAAAACTGATAAATTCATTATTGTAACTTTATTTCCTGTGACTTACGAAGGTAGGACAGAAGGTCAAATAAATTGAAGGACAAGAAGTCACACATTAGATTTTAGATAATTTGTTGGCAAAGATCTAAAAAAAAACAAAACTTTTTCAACTTTTACATATTGAAAACATTTGTAGTAAACCATCAATAATTATACATTTTTGCTAGGAAAAAAGAATATCAATGCACCAATAAATATATATTCTTTGTATGGTTCAAATTCATTTAATCTCTATCCAAAAATGCTAATATAAAAAAAAGGAGATGTGTGGTATGACTGCAAATGAAGCACCTATCTACCAGAGTTCAAATGATAATAAAAGGCTTTGACCTGTAACATGTGAAACAAAGCAAACTCGAAGGCTAACGTAATAATCTATACAATACAAT